AGATACTTGCCTGAAAATTCATATATGATTTATTTTCCTATTCGAAAATACTTGCCTTTATGAGAAATTGTTTCCAAGAAGGTTTCATTTCATTTTTCAACATGAGAGTAATATGGAACCTATTATTGTTTGGCACTGGCTTAACATTTTACTGCCTAATTAACTGCTAGAGGCAGGTGAGAGATCTGATGTGCGTTTATGTCTGTATGGCCACAGACCTCCGCAGACATGTTGTTTTCATGAGGTGCTGTTACCTTTTTTTTCTCCCTTAAAACTGTCTGTGTCGGTCGCGTAAACTTTCTATTGGTCTGTCTTGTCTGGTGCGTTCAGGGACAACAAAGAACAACAAACAAACAAACAAGACTCAAGAGCAAGTAGGTGCAGTTTCATTATTTAATTAAAGTGCATTAACTGTGACAGATGTGCGTTTTTGTATACAATGTGAAAATCACCTTCAGACATGCATCCATCCCATTTAAGTTGTGAATCAGACATTTATTTTTCTTTTACTTCACCATGCAAAATGTGCGGGTGTAATCCCCAGGAAATAAAGTAGGCCTAGAAAAAGAAATACAAAAAAGAAACTGCAGTGCTGCAGTGAAGAGGAAATTTGAGTCAGAAAGGACGACAGATGGACACTTGTGGTAAAAAAATGAAAAAGTTGCAGGGACTTTTTGTCGCTCTGTAACGAGTCTCATTACCATGCCTCCCCCCTCCTCCCCCCCGACACCCTTCCTCACTCCTGGCAACAGCAGACAAAGCGCGCGGGTTTTAGTGGTCTCCGGGCAGCCTTTGATCTGAGCCCGTTAAGGAGAAGGGAGTCTGGGGGAATCAGAGCTAAGGAGGAAGGTAAAGTCACCTAAAATATTTTTACCTATATTGTACAATCAATAATTTCATTAGATTTTTCAATGTGGGACAAGATGCATCCTAATTTGCATATAGGAGTCAACACCTGAGGGTAAGATGTTGCCAACTGGAAGTCTGTTTCATTTCTGTGACTTTTTTTCTATAACTGCAAAATATATTTATCCACCAGGTAAATACACCCAGGAGCCTGGACTTTAAGAGAACCGGACCTCCAAGAACTAAACAAGAAGCAGGGAGGGCCTTCAAACAGAGGCCTGGACCAGTTTGGTGGGTCAAATTAATATAAGGACCCCTCCCCAACATCACCTTTATGATAGACCTAATGCAGGTGGGATGCAGCTATGATCTATAATATGTTTATACCCGTTTGGTGCTGGAAATGAAATATTGATTAAACTTGACGTGCAGTGGCAAAAACAATTCAACCTAAATGAACATAATTTATTGTAGATTACATTTATTTGGTTTGGGAAATGTATATTATTCAGCTTTACATGAGGCCTATTAAGGGTGTTTTTATGGCTTTGCATAAAAATAGATTTATACTAAAATATCAAGGTGAAATAAAAATATAAAAAGGATCTAACAACTCTGATCCTGCATCCTGCCTCGCGCCTGCGTCGCTGATACTCAGACAAAAGGTTTTCTCAAATTAAGTTAGTAATGGTCCACATGTGCCAGATCACTCAGGCAGGACAGACAGGCCACGGTGAATTTCATATCATGCAAACGAACTGGAAAAAAAAGGAAAGAAAAGGAGGCTGGACATGCGCCTGTCATCGGTGGGGAAATAAAAGGCTCTGCGCTTGATAAAAAGACCGACTGCTTTTGGTGGTTTCTGAAGAAAATATCAAAAAATATCCTAACATGCGATAACATTCAGAATAAAATGACAGAATACTTCATTAATGCAGTAAGAAACGCTTACCTGCCATACATATACAATGACCCAACAAGATAGATAGCTTCAATATTTTATTAACAAGCTTCGGAATTAATTTGCTTTTACGTTATAATTATGTTTTTATTATTGTTTATTTTAAAATGATCAGTTTACTTGAGGCTGCATTTTCTTAAATGCATTTTCAAATTACATCACTTTTACAATTACCACATCAGGATGCTTATCCTCACAAAGCAAAAAATAAATAGTTTCCATTTAATCTAAAGCATTTTTATTAGAATTTGTAAAGCGATATTTAATACTTTTCATTGTGTTTTTCCGCACTAGGCCTTGGACACTTGAAAATTAGCACTGACTGTAATAGTTGTAGGAAATGGCCTTTTGGAGCCACTTGGAAAAGGTTTTAATTTATTCAAACAATATAACAAAATATCGCAACGCAGTTAATTAGCTTAAACTAAATGTTTTATGTTGATCAGCTCATAGCCTACGTTATATTTTAAGTCATTGTTGCTAATAGGTTTACACTTCTCAAACTGTGCTGCAGTTGCAATAACGAGGTATTTCATTGCTTTAGAATAATCTTTTGCTGCAATTACTTTGTCATATATCGTCATTAGAAGTCTATTAAAACATCAAGTCATTATTTGGGCATCCCCGGGCGGGGAATTAGAATAAAACCATCTTTGCCACACGGGTCCCATTTAGATTAATGGAAAAATATGTAAAACATTTCGTTTTAATTTTCCTCTGACAGTGTTTTGCATACATGCATTTTCTCCGCCTGCGCTGTCTCTCATAATTTATGAAAGCAATCTCGACCAACACATTACCGGGCTATGAAATAATGCTCGCAGCCTAATTGATTCCCGTCACAATTTTGTGAGGTTATAATCGTGTTAATTGTAATTTACTCTCTCAGGGAATACCAGAGAGATGTATTTAAATAAAACTACCGAGAGGACTGAGAAGATTATATCAGCTCCACACATAATAGAAATGTCATGTAGAATTACACAGCGGAGGCAGACAGGGATGCATTCCTCTAATCTACATAGATGTCACTGAAATCTTTGGCTTTCTCATTCCAAAATGTTATTGAATTGCAAAGTCGTCAAGGTGCAATAAAAGCAAAACGAGAGCAAAAGACAGCGTTTGTTTTACCTACAGGGGGAGGGCTGAGAGAGTGTGGGTGGAAATAAGGGCAACATATATTAGAAAGAATGATAATAAAAAAAGGTGGTAAACAAACACTAAGGGGATGTTGTGTTTTGTTTTAATATAAACTAGCCAAATTATTTCCTGATCATCCTCAGAAGAGCTGCCCTTTTTGCTTGGTCCCTGCATGATGCCCTGAGCTGCTTCCTCTGCTTAGAGACCTTCCTTCCTGTCTGAGGGACACCTGTTGGTGCAGAGCAGCTCCGAAAAGCCATGTTGTCCCGTAAGACCGGCCTCCTTCCTCACTGAAGTCACCTGGTGAGCCTCCTTTCAACTCCGAGTGCAGCACATGTGTCCAAGAATGGCTTGATCGAGCCTATTATGCACTCAATAGGGAAATAGATGTTGTATTCAACATTTGGAAGTAAAATATATTTTTTAAATGTTTTCATTATCAACCTTTCAAAAAAACAAAAATATGTATTCAGTGAATACTTGGAGACAATACTTAGCCTCCAAACTCAACTTATTAATTGCATTTAATCATTTCACAATTAAAAGACATGCAGAAGCTTAGACTAAATGCAAAACCAAAGTGGATTTCCTCCAGTAACTCTTTCAGCATTCACTTCAGATTGTGGAAAGACTAAGCTGCAACAAATGATACATTTCTGTAAGTTTAAAAAAAGTCAGTGTTTCAAGTTTGATACAAATCAGTGAAGCCCATTTGAATGACATAACCTCAAATCAAGAAAAACGTTTGATTCATGTAATCAGCACAGGTTATTCACAAACAACACGTTGCAGAATGACCAAGTGTGAGATGTGGCTTGTCCAATGCCTGTTTAAAAGATCCACAGAGCCTGCACAATGGCTCTTTACTTAAGTACCGTTTGTAGATTTATTTAATTAAAGTAATAAATAACAGTTTTGTCTACCAACCTAAGGGTTTAATGGAACATTGGGTGAAAACAAACAATGTAAATTCATGGCAGAAAAAAAGTGAGCAGGGGTGAGAGAAATATGTGGCCAAATGCCAAAGAGACAGCTTACTGTTGGGGTCTTTGGCTGGGCGCAGGAGTGGTTTCGATCTTTTTGTCTGGCCTGGCCTGGCACAGACCACAGTTCTGCCCCAGACACAATAGATCATACAGTACTAGTGAGAGAGGGAGAGATGAGGGGATGAGGTGGGGTATGGTGCCTTTCATTACCATGGTCACCAATGGCACTATTAACCATTCAACACCCCCCCAATTATCCTCCCATCCACAGTCAGAGAGACAAAGCCTCGGTCCTGGTCTGCTGGAGCAACATGGCCACTAATCTGTCTCACTCCAACATCACACCCACTTCACTGTCTCTGGAAGTCAGACATGCACAAGCTCTCCACAGAGCGCCTTTGTGCTTTTATTTGTGACAGCACAACAAACGACTTTACTGAACTTGTCGAGGAGCAAAAAGACAGTCTGGAAACAATAATTCAAGTTTAAATCTTTGTGTTAAATAAGCGTTCAGGTAAAGAATACTGTCGCAGCATGTGCATGTATGCAGTGTTTCTTTACATTTTGTACAGGTCATGGTGTGTGTGTGACGCCACACGCCTTCTCCATCAAGACCGCAGGCTCACGGCGGCCACAGGGCGAGCTGAATGTCTTCACTGAGGAGGCTGACACAAAAAAAGCGAAATCGTAAGTTTACGCACTTCCATCTGTGTTTTCTAAGCGAGCGAGACTTTGATGTTTGTGAGTCGGGCCCTGGGCAGGGGGCTGAGGCCTGACTGGAGCGCTGGGGCCTAATGAATAGATCCACAACAGTGGCTTGTTGTGTTTGTTTACCCTTTCACCCAGCTGCCTGGATCGTGGAGGTGGGAGAGCATTCATCATGACCTAGGAGAGATGGGAGGCATGGGCACACACACTGAAGAATGACATGATGGCGCACACTCTGCACAGTGTGCCAAAAAAGTGCCCAAACAAGGCAGTAATCGTCAATACACGCCACGAGCGAATAAAAGGACCAACAAAGAAAAAGTCAAACTTATTGCAATTGCCATAACAATCAAATTAAATAAATAAAACAATTTCCACATTTATTAAAACTTAAATTAAAACCACAATTTCCACAATCCAGTTATGTCCAGCAAAATATATTATAACACTTCAAAGTGCCATTTTTGTCCTGAAACCAGCAAGAGTTCCTGTTCCCTTTGACGTCTCCCATCAGGGTCAAGTTGTGCGGTTCCTCGTGATTCTTCCCACCAGTTGTGTCATTTCTCTGGCACCACAACGGAGAGTGTTACGATGTTTTTCGCCTGCTTCACCGAGGGCATGTCAATCATGCTGCCGCGGAAGGTGAACGCACCCTGAACAGGTTTACACAGAGGTGAGAGAACAGAAAGACAGAAATGAGACCAGGTGTAAAGTGAACACGCAGCAAGTAGATTAGTGTACCAAAAACAGAACATGCCACATTATGAGAGCCATCCTTAAATGCATTTTGCATTAATAGAGAAGTATCATAAAAATGTAGTTATTAATACTAAATAATTGCAAAAAAAATGAAGTTGCAGATGAAAGTGTACCTTAGTAGACATACAGTCAAAGTGAGCCATTAAAAACTGCCAGGAAAAACCGCACAGACTAAACATTGCATGGAAATGTGTAAATGATAAGGAATAAAATGTACTTTGAAAGATCTCCAAGAAACATCAAGTCAGAAAAATGCAGTCAATAGCTGGGGGTGACACTTATGAAAAACAAGCACCTGTCGTGTGGTGAGACAAAGGGACTGACCCTGCTCGCTGTTCAACCCCTAAGTCTCACACACAGACAGGAACACACACACACACACACACACACACACACACACACGGCAGCAGAGGGATGGGTAGGATCTGAATCCCTCGGGCGATGCTTAGTAGGAGCAGCCCTGGCAGGGAGAGAGGTGCGGGCAGATTGTGCATTACCTCAGCAGATAGCCCACAGAGCGCAACACACAGGATCCAACCATGCACTAAATTAGGAACAATAATATTGTACACTTAATTGGCCCAACTCCCCCCCCCCCCCCACCACCACTTCTCCTATGCATCTCTGAGAGTCACCCAGGGGTGTACAGTATGTATTCTCTGGAACTACAGAGGTGTGCGAGAGGGAACACAAAAGGATCAGTCCGAGTCTCAGAGCAGAAAAACACCCCGCTCATCTGAAGAGTCCCAGATAATGAGTCACGCAGGACACATGCATTACAGAAAGTCTCATATAGCAATATCCCCTGGTTAATAGGACATATCTCCCCTTTGAAATGATGAAAGGATTTGTAATAAATAAAGTTGTTTTGTGCGGTCATTATTTGTTTTAATTGATTTTGGAAGAAAGAACGAAAGAAATCTGAAATCACATGACGTTTTAATGAGGTTGTTACCCAAGTTAACTTACTGAAAACATTTAACAATCAGGATAAAAGCTAAAAAACGATTAAAGTTTAAAGAGCAATGGGCAGTGTTTTTTTTTGTGTGTCATCTATTCATATTGCTTTTGCCCAATCTATCAAGTTATATTGATAGATAACACATTTGTGAATTGTCTAAGAAATAACCATCCACAGCTAGCGATTTCTTTTTAAATGTAAAATAATTGCTTTTGGAAGAGAATAGTAACATTACCTTTCCCTCCTTTTGGTGTTGGTCAAAAGCAGCAATGAGCTCTTTGGCCCACTGGACCCTCTCCAGACTGGGGGAGAACTCCTCCTGCACAGCTTGGATCTGCCCCGGGTGGATAACCTGCTTACCTGCACAGGACACACACACACACAAACACACAGAGAGAGAGAGAGAGAGAGAGAGAGAGAGAGAGAGGGAGAGAGAGAGAGAGTGTAAGTGAAATATGCAAATGATAACAGCAGGCTAGGCTTCAAATCAAAGAGACATTTGTGCTAAAAAACAATGTTTTTACGTGTTGGCACAGAGCTTTCAATAACACAGTTTGTGCCAATTACACTCCCTGATTATAACAAACAAGATATTTTATTATGAAAACTGTTGAGCAAACAGCTGCATGAATGGAAAAAGAAATCCCTGAGATTGATGAGGGATTGTAGCCGGCACTGTTCATGAGAGGGAGAAACCACAACACAGAAAAGCAATGAGACAAGAGAAACAGGAAATACGGAAGACTAAATTGTGTGTGCGTGTGTTTATGTGTCAGTGTATCCTATGGCAACACTGAGGTGAGTCAGATGGTCAGCACGGGACCAGAGGAGGCTGTGCATCATCACTTCTGCTCGCAGGCCTTCTGTCTGACTGCCCTTAGACTTCAGCATGTGAAAGAGGGAATACTGCTGACAATATAACACACAGAGCCCAAGTAAACATACACAGCAACTCTTAAAAAATGCCAATAAAATAAAACAAATTAAGAAAAATACATTTAGACCAAATATTATATTTATAACCATATTCAAACATGTTAAACAAATGTTTTCAAGCGTCTTCATTAAAATACTTTCTATTATCAACTGGTAAAAATAAAAGAAATGCATGTCTTTTCCCATGATAACATTGTATACAATTTCAGAACCTCAGTGGTTGCATACCTTTCAGAAATTGCATCTTATATCCAACTGAAACACGAGCCTAACATGGAGTTAAGGCTCTGTCTGAGACAATCCCCCACCCTCCCGCCCCCACTCCGTCTCAGTTAAATGTGGGCTAACGCCGCAGACATAATCCCGTGTACATTTGCAGATCAAACTTGTAGTGATAAGTTAAGGTTATGAAACGTCTGGTGAGAACGACGGCTCAGCGGCAGCCAGCAGGAACTCGACACTTTAGGGCTTAGCTCTGTCGCTGACAACAAATCCTTCAAGGTGGCCGAGCAGGCGGGCTGCACGCGCGAAAAAATGTTGCCCAGGAGAAATGAGAAGGGGAGAGGAGGATAAGACGGAAGAGGAAAGGGGAGGAGAGAACCCCACACCCTGCATCCAGCTCCGCTCACCCCAGTTAACCTCCAAAAAACACACAGAGCACCAACACAATGAGCACACTGTAGTTAAAGGCTTGAACAATTACTAATGAGAGAACGCAATTCATTGACTTGCAACTTATGACAAATAGATATCTTCGAGGGAATCATGCACATCATAAAATGTGACACTTGGCACCTGTTAGCCGGTCATTGCGAATTCATGAATGCCTGCGTGTTTGTTTGTGTGAGGCGGAGAGACTAACTGCACATTTTCGGTTGGACTAACAGCCTGAGGACTCCCCAGGGCCACGCTGGAGATTTGCTGGAGATTTGTAGGAGTGTGTGTGTGCGCGTGTGTGAGTGTGCGTGCAATCTTGTGTATATTTATTTGTGCCTGCCCGTGCATCACCTCCTCTGCAGTACTAAAATATCAATTGTAGTTTGGATATTATACAGATATTGTATTATTGCGAGGATTTAGGCCAGAGGAGCCACCTGTTTTACTTCTGTTTTGGAGAAAGGAACATGTTTGCACACTGAAATTGGCTGGTTTAAATATATTTAAAGAGTGTGTCTCTTTGAGGGTCTGTCTGTCTGAGTGTGTAGGACAACAGGAGAATGACAGAGTGAAGAGGAAACAGACAGGGTGCCCTCAGTTACAACCCATTGGTTCTCCTAAAATGCATCACTCATGCCCTCCAGCCAATCCCGGCCTGCCATGTGGTGCTGGCATCTCATTGGAGGATTGCCATTTAGCAAAGTGCTCTCAGGCGAATGATGGGCAGGGTCCCGGGGATGGAAGTGAAATGCAGAGAGCTTTGTGGAACCGATTTCTATGTCAGTGAGGCAAACACTTTTGGAAGGATTATTCAGTCTAAGCTGCGACATGTAGTATACAGCACATAAAACAAGGTGCTTATAAAGTAAAGATACTGCACTCTTTTATATCTAAAAATTAATGACCGTCCTCCCAAACAGATTTACTTTGTCAAGGTTTTGCTGGATTTTGCCTTGCATGTCCCATGTACTGGTAAGAAGCCTAGATGTTTGTGTCTGACCAGTGTGTTCTGTGCTCAGTGCTAATGGGTGCTGGATGCAGCTTAGGTAGTGCCAAGGTCAATTACTGCACAGGTAGACGCTTTTGGCTGCACCGTATTATTGCTTAAGCACACTCGGGCCAGAGTAATAGCTACTAACTAAGATTATACAGAGTGCCCATGGCTTGTAAACCACTAATCCAGTGCTTTGATGGTTCGGTTCCATATTCAAATCGGACCATTTCTTCATCAACGGCTGCTACCATCTCAAAAATATTTTTTTGCTGCAAAAAAAAACAAACCCATTTGATTCAAAAAGGCAAATTATTTAAACATATGTGCATAGGTTTAAGAAACCCCTCAACATAATATGCGACTAACAGTAGTGTGTAAATAAATGTAAATATTTCATTAACCTGGACACAACACACACACAACACACAAACACAACACACCACAACACACACACACACACAACACACACATCACACACACATCACACACACAACACCACACACAACACACACACACACACCACTAACACACACACACACCACACACACACACACACACACACACACACACACACCACCACACACACACACCACACACACACACACACACACAACACACACACACACACACACACACACACACACACCACACACACACACACACACACACACCAACACACACCACACACACACACACACACACACACACACACACACACACACAGGCAAATGAGGTCACCTGGAAAATAATTTGCTGGATGAGGCAGCAAGAAGCTCGGCTACAAGATGATTTGATGATGTGAAGTGTAGGTAACATGTCTCTAGGCCAGGGCAACATGGAGCGTGTGCTCAGCATTCACAATTATTCAGAGCCCAAAAGTGTTAAGTGCTTCTTTTTCTCCATTTCATTCCTGAATGAATGCTGGCTAATTGCTTCGTTCAATGATCTCACATTCAAAGAATAACAATCTAAACATAACATAGTAAAATAAAACAGGATATAATGAGATTCACCCACGCCCTCATTTTTTATGTGGAAACAAATCACAGTAGGAAGTATATCATATGTTAAAATAATCAGTCTGCAAAGGATAAAAATATCAGAATATATAAATGTGCTGCGGCAGAGGAAGAATGACTGGAATATTCACTTTGGAACAGGCTGTCCAGCCTTCTGTGGTCTGTTACACGCAGTCCGCGGGGCACACACACACACACACACATTTTGCAAGCGTTGCCTGGCTACAGACTCACCGAGAGCGCTGTTAAAGTAGACCCTACCACTACTTTAACTCCCTTTAAAAAAAAATCATACTTTAGCACACACACACATGCATATTTGCACATAAGCAGGTAAGCACCCAAGTGCACACACACAAAACCAATCATAGTGGCACAAAATAAATGTCAGAAAAGCATTTAAGGACAGCTGTGTCGTTCACAATTCACTTTAGCAGCACCTGAGGTGCTTAAAAAAAGACAAGCAGCCAGTTCTTAAACCACTGCCACAATGGTCATTTTGAGACATTCATTCATTACAATGAATCATACAAGTATATGGATTTCAAATGAAAAGCCAGATGGTCTGCAACCTTCCACTCCGTTTTAACTCAAATAACATATACATCCTATTCTCACTTGGAACAAAGAAAGAGAAAGACCTGGTTAAAGAGGCAAGGAGGAACAGATACAAAATGTTGGATTGTCTGAATGTTGCTGGCAACAGGAAGTTGAGGACAGTCCGTTATGCAGCCACACATGGATGTATAATAAGAACTGGATACAGCGTGGGAGGCGGGGCCTCGTTCATTCCTATGAGAGTTGCTCATTGGCGCATGAAGACAAAATGGCCCAACTTTTGAGAGAGCGAAACGCCACGAAAGTATTCATATAATCATATAATCCGTTCTTATTGTGCATCCATGGGTAAAGGTAAAACTCATGTAGTCCCGTGGGTTGGATCCACGTTCATAATGCAGAATGTTTTTAATAATATACAAATGTTCATACTGGGTAATTTATTTAGTTTAAAAAACATTATCCAACAATTTACAGACGTCTCTTTCCCAATGTTAGTCAATGGGAAAAAGTGTTTCCGGGCCCAGCGACTGATACGGAAGTGTAGTACCGCCGTTTGGCCACAACAAATATTTTCCTCTGAGTCCGGTGCACTTCCTGGGGGCTTGCAGCCACAGGGAGAAGTGAAGAATAAAAATAAAGGGCAACTGCTGAATGATGTGCAGAAAACAGCAATTTCTGGGATGGCCCAAGATGTTGTGATCATGACTTGAGGTGACCTTACTTAATGGGACATGGGCAGATTAGAGACCCATTTAGCAGGAGCTTTACCTGTAAAGCCCATGAGAGCGCCCTCCCTGGCCTGTCGCCTTAGCCCCTCCACATCTTTGTAGTCGATGTAGACCAGGTCGATAGCCTGCAGCCCAAACGCTTTGGTGGTCACGACCACCTTCTGCCTGGCGTAAAGGAGCTCCCTGGCATCTTTGGTCCGTGTGGCACCTGAAGAATACAAAATATGGGGGGGAGGGTGGTTGAACGGGTAATTGAAAAAGTAACAGAGACAAGTACAAGACAGCAAGCAGAAAGTTAAGCAGGAGGTGAAATGACTACCTATGCTGGCACAGAAGTCATCAGAGCCAAACACCACACCGTCATGGTGGAGGCCGGCCTTCGGAGCAAGTCGACGGACTTCCTCACAAACCGCCTGGAAAGAATGCATGAATGTATTAATTTATAACAGGCTCACTCAAGTGTCACAGATTGATAGAGGAATTCAAAAGTTGGACCTATTGATAATGTAAAAGTTCAGATAATCTGGATTTCGGAATTTCCTTTGCAGGCAGAAAAAGTCATCACACTTAATTCTCTTTAAGAAATGTTTAATTACAGGATGATAGTAAGGCAACGTTTTTGTATGGCTACTTTTATTAAGACCTAAGACTACTGAACATGTCTAACAATTATAAACCCCATTTCTAAGGCACGACTTCAGGCAACAATTATTACCGAATAAGGGGGAAGAATGTGGAATGTGATTGTCTGTGGTGAGGAGCGTGAAACAATAAGAATGCGTCTCCTGGCTTTTGTTAGCCTCCAAATTAATTTCACCACTAGCTGTGCCACAGTGATTTCTTTTTTTCCATGTCTGTAACCTGGGGTTCAGTCTGGGCAAAGATACAGGGTGTCCCTCAAGAAAGCACAGAGAGGCACCCCCTGCCATCAAAACACACACACACACACACACACACACACACACACACACAAACTGACAACCACAGACAGTCACAGAAACAGAGTAGAGAACTAAAAGACAAATAAAAAAAAGGACGGACAGCTTGTTTCTACCCAAACGCTCAAAACCCATGCCCTTTCCCCCATGTAGCTGAAGGTCGTGCCGTACTATAACAGGAAGCGCTTTGATGCCTGCCAAAATATCATTAAGAACTTTTTCACTATGATGATATTTAAACAGCTCTAATTAAAAATCAGTGTGTCTGGAGAGGGGTAGAGAGAGACGCAGGCATACAGACAGAGAAAAGGGAAACAGAAAAAAGCCTCATTTTGAGAGACTGTCCGAAAGCTTTGAAACCCTTTCATTTTGGACACGTGGAGTGTGCTCGCTGACGCCGTCTTTAATCTAAAGTGAACAATGGACAAACAGCATAATGCCTTACGCAGGCAGTTTTGGGGGTTTGTTTGTAATTTACCTTAAAATTGAGCAGGCCCACAGCAGTTTCCACAAAGGTGACCAGGCGGACGGGTTCTGTCAGTGCCCGTCCTTTCAAGTAGTGCTGAAACCTGTCAACAAACTAAGCACACGGGGACAATCGCATGCACGACTCATTAACAACACCCAGGGTTTCTGTAAATGGAAAACAATAAACCGAACAATCAAAATGAATGAATTACTTTGTACAGTCGTCACTTTTATTAGATGTTGCTTTGCTGGAGCACATACTGACTATTCACTATAGCCTTTGTTATAGAAACACTTCATGGTAAGCCCGATTCGATTTGTGATATTGTGTTTAATATGCACAGATCTACAAGGAAATAATATGCTCTGCTGGTCTCTATTTTTGTGCTGTTAAGTGCAGCTGAAGTCCTCATAGGACTAATGATCCATTATTAGTTATATAAATGAGAAAAACAGGAAACCAACGCTTACATATTGAGCTATCGAGTCAGAGTGAATTTAAAACCGGTAGTAAAAGAAACCTCAGGAGTAAAAATACATAAATGATTTGACACATCTTTCACAATCCACTGTGGGGTAAGAGACAGAGGGGGGGGGGGGGAAGAGAACTCTTAACATGCAAAAACTCACTTTTGATATGAATCTTGACACCTTTATTACCTGCACTGTTTCCATTTCAGTCCTTACGCAGAAACACATCTATGAGAGTTCAAATAGCGAAGAGAGCGAGCACAGGAGGGCAACAACAAAAGCGGGGGAAATGAAATATTTTACATTATCACCAGGGTTCCCCCCCCTCGTCTGAAGTCTTCTGCTCCAGCTTCTTTCACAGGTTCTGCAGAACTACAGCATGTGTTCCCCTGAGAGAGTGTGCACAGATGTAAATGCACACATGCACGCACGAGCACATGCATACACACGCAGAAATGAATACCGAAAAGGGGAGAAGAAACAAGATTTGGGATGTCTTTGAGTGTGTCACTCCTACATTATTCTGTTTTGCGTCCCCCCCCCCTCCATGGCAGGGAACAGGGAGACTGGAGCAACAATCAGAGTGTGATGTGACACTTTGCTGAGGCCTTTATTCTGCACAACTCCTGCTAATATGCAAGCTCACCTAAGTAGGGCTTTAAAACCAAGTTGAATTCTTTGAAGACCAAAGCATTTCAATTTTTTCCAACAGACCAGTTCACAGCTAGCCCTGGACTGCCAGTGGGGCAGCCCAAATTCCAAAATCTATCATCTGGAAACACACAAAAGCCCCCTCCGTCAGATATTTCCTTTCAATGCCAGTTAAAAAAAAAAGAGAAAAGGAGAGGGCGCAAAAGCTCAGAGTAGAAATGTCTAACTCCATGTCCCCCCTTCCTCTCCTTTCTCTCGCTCCCTCTTTGACACACCAGGAAAAAAGACAGATATAAATAACCTCAGGTAGAGCACTGCTATTTTTCTAAACGAGGCGCAAAACAACCCTGTGCTCGCACTTACCACTCCTGTCCAGAAAAACTGAAAGAGAGGGCCTCCATTGAAGGATTTCAAAAAATAGGGGCAATTTTAATCATCTCTCTATTCAATCTCTGTTGGATAAATCATATCAGAGATTTGCATAAATACAAACCATCAAAGACTTTTCATCTTCAAAGAGGTTTTCAAGACCCAATAGGCTTTGTACTGTAATCATCTGAGGTCACAACCCTGTGGGAGCAAGGCTGCTATGGTAACATAAAAACTAACGCTGGGGGCTTAGCATAATATCCCCCCTCCTTCGCAAACACAGGAAGGGGTGGGGGGGGGTCAGAGAGGGAGTGTGAAAAGAGGGTGTAGATAAACCTATTTCTGTGACAGAGGAAACTAGATAGATATGGCCCGTTGTGGGCTGATATTACACACAGAGATTACCACGGCGACACTGTGCCACGCAAACCCCAACAAGGCCGCGACGAGAAGAGCCGTGTGTTTGGATTCTGCCGAAGGAAAACAAATGACAGCTCAATGCGGCGGCAACGCTGGCTAAAGAGCCTCCTTGCCTCTCTGATTACATGTTTCTGTCCTTCTGTATTCTCCTCTTCAGCTATTATACACTCTGAGGGCCTGATTTACACTGCATAAGAGGTACTATAGCGCCGGTTCATTGTTCCTCTGTTGCATACAGAAACCATTAGCTGTCAATGGCTCTCAAAACTAGGACCCTTTAAGATGTTATTCACTGCTGAATTGCAAAAGTACGGGAAAGAGAAAAGGAGAAATAACACCTCTTATCACCATTCAAAGCCACGCTACAAACAAGCCCTCTGACAATTTCACCACCCAATCATGAAAAGAGAAGGAGGGAGAGATGGAGCCAGAGAAAGGAGGCTATAGTGGGACAAGTTTCAATTAATTTTCTTCAAAAGGGGGCCAGATTAAATGTTTCCGGCCTGCTGAAGTGTTCATTTCACAGAGGGGAAGCGGAGAAAGGGATGAGGGGAGGGGACGGGAGGAGGAGTAGAGGAGGAGGAGCGGGACAGGGTGCGATTCTTTCGGTCCCAGTGCACACCAAATAGTGTGGTGGGCAAAGAATGCACATGGCTCCGAATCTGTGTGAGAATTGTCCTCAGACAAAGGAGGGAGTTACGCCTGTTATACCCCAATAAGGCCTGTCAGTCACACAAGGGCTGGGGGAGAGGAGGAAGGCAGAGCTAAAGGTTTCCACACAAAGGGAAACAAGCAAGTCCATCTTTTAGCGACAAATCAGTCTGGAGGTTCTTGTGCTAATATCAATAGAGAAAGAAAAGGGAGAAAAATAAACAAGTAAGGGATTTACTGTGCTGCCTTACAAGAGTGGAGAAAATCAGACACATGCATAAGAACGCACACACAGAGAAGCTTGAGTAAAGAAGACCCAGAGAAAGTTTGAGGGACATAGAAGAGATTAGATGAAGTAAATCAAGGACCTATCCAAAGCAACAGACTTTCTCAGAAGCACACATGCACCTGCTGATGCAGAAACACCCCGACAAACACACTGTAAATCCAGCGTGAGAACAGATTTACAGTGCACTCAGTGTTCCTGCAACAAAGCTTTAGTATGAAAAGGAGAAAAAAAAAGTACATAAGCAGGCAATTATTCTATCATTTTATAGCTCTCAATGGGCTGACTGAGATTTTCAGCGTAATAATACCCAACAGTGAATGAATTTTTGTTGTTGTTTCTTTACAAAAGGAAATTAATGTAGAATACAATTGACTTCAGCGAAGAAAAGTAGCAAAAGGAGGAACGGCTGAGCTTAGGGAGAGAATTAGTGAACACCTGTCAGCAATTATACTTGGAAGAAAGAAAAGGGCAGCAGGAAATAGATGTGTTCTAATTAAAAGCACTAGTTAAAAACGTCCTGCCCCAGACCTTGTATGAGTGTACATAAACGTGTGTGTGTGTGTGTGTGTGTGTGTGTGTGTGTGGGCGTAAAGCTGGGGGAAAAGCCAAACAAAACACCCTCCTTTGACCTCTCTCTTCTAAACAATTCTTAATGTCTCCTCTTGTGTAATCACCAAACAGTTATATAGCTTGACATAATAAAAGCTTTAAAGAGGAAAACAGCCACTTAAAAAATGCTTAGGTAAACGGCATGTCCATATTAAAAATGTGTGAAAAGAGAGGAAAAGAATGTCAACCGTATTCAGCAAGAAGTTCTTGAACCTGTGAACTGTATTCACACACACACACAGGGAAGGAGGCAGACAGTAACCTGGTTCCTTGTGGTAAGTGAACCATATGGAGCTGATCAGAAAAGCCTGCATTAATGATGTCACTGTCTCCTGACCTTTGGGGACCTGGCATCCGTACAGCGCCCCTTTATAGAAAGCCAGAGGGATGGCCAAGCCCAGACTAGCACCTCTTAACTAGGACGCAGGCGCAGTTAGTATGGACCAATTGCAATTTATAATACTGAAAATTGGGAATAATATCAGTGGGCAATCATTTCGTGGTTGCACATCTAGAAGAGTTTTGATCAGAGAGGTGACGGGAGACCTTCAAGTACCAAGACAAAAGGCAACTAGATTTACATTCTCACTTTGTAATTTAAGATATCAGTTTGTTTTCTTGCTCATACACAACTGGCAAGATGGCCTTTCAAGTTAATATCAAAACTTATTCAAAGGTGTCCATAAATAACTGAATGTAATGCATGTTTCAGCATAGAATTTATTGGCACCCGTTTGGAGCCTTAAGTTTGATTGGATAAATCCTTAACCACAATATGAATCAAACATTTCCCAAATTGGGATCAACAAAGTACTTCTTATCTTAAAATGTTTCCTTTGAGTTCAGCAGTAGCAGAAGGTCCCGTTGTGATGTTTCAGAGAGCTATCAGGCTTTTGAAGCTAATCCGAAGAAATGTCATCTTTTACTTGAGCAGCGGCCAAGAAAAACACTCTGTCCCTGAGTTCTGCCACAGGGATCGATTCCCAGTTTTACTGGGAAATGGAAAAGTTTGTTATGATTGCTTTCAAGATTCCCGTGGTTTCCTCTTACTCCATGAGTTTGTGTTAGAGCACCGCTGTGTTTTTTTAAAGAGACACCCAGAGGAGAAAGAGAGAAAAATCATGTTTGTTCTAGTCCTGTTTAGTTTTTGCATGTATTGCAACTTTGGGTTTCTTTTTTCTTTGCACATGGTTTTGAAATAAATCTCTTTCCGGTTACTTCAGTAAGTCTTCTTTGACTTTAGAAAACGACAGAAGCACTTCAAAGGCAGGCAAATACTTCCAACTTACCCACTGCACTTCCTGCGTGTCTTCCACTTTAGGCAACATGATGGCAGGAGGGAGAACCTCAGCCTGCAGGATGACCTGCAGGTCAGCCTCAGCAAAGCCACTGGACACAGAGTTCACCCTCACACACTTCTCCGTCCGGCCCAGGTCCAGTTCAGCCAACATCCTGGGGATGGTCTCCCTGGCCTCTGTCTGCAGCAAAGGAACACAACACACACACAGAGAGCCTCATTATTTCACGTCATGCATTTGGTCTGGAATGCAATATTGAATCACTAATGTGAAATGTTTTAAGATACGACAGCTTGTGACTACCCAAGAATATAGGAGAAACAGGCAAACGAGAGCAAAAAAAAAGTACTGGATACATCGTTGAAGAATGAAATTAAAGTCAAATTTCTTCCAAGAAAATGTTTCTACATAGATTATAATGGACATTAAGCCTAATCATAAAAATAGACTACACAATGCCAAAACAAATAAGGTGTCATTAGTGGGTGATTGACAAAGCATACATCAATTTGGAATAAATGGTATGAAAATGAATATTAAACATAGAAAAATACACCACCAAATAACCACCTGCCCTCTCCCTTGGCTGCTATTCATCTATATATAAACACGGTAAGCCACAAATCACCTAAACAGAAGCTGCACACTCAACTTTGCTCTCTCAATGCCAGCATTGTATAAGCTGAGCAGGAAGAGAGATGCGGAGGATGGGGGAAAAAAAGAATCAAAGCGAAACCTACAGTCCCAGCTTCTATCAGTAACACACCAGCACACGCCGCTATATTCAAACCAGATGCTGGACTACAGGAATGGAGAGAGCGAGGGATGAAATGGGGAGAGAGGTCCGGCCAGTGAGAGGGGAGAGGCTCTCTGGGAGAAATGTGGTCCCAGTTAAGCAGCATGAGGAAACGGTAGCTTAGGAGTTGTCAGGTCAGATCATAGGCAGGAGCCTTTGAGTGCTTGTGTGTGTATATGTAGTGGTGATCCTTAGATTGGGATTTATTTCCGGTTTTCCCCTTTATACCACCAAAATATTCTCTCAGAAGTACTGAATAAACCACGTTTTGGAGATGCTTATTCATGAAATGCAATGGAGGTTATTTGATTACGGCACTGAAAGTTGGTGGTAAACGTCGCATCATGCAATGTGATGCACATTTTTCGTATGACTTCAAACGGATCATGAGTTGAACATAAAAACAGGGTGATCATTAGTGGACAGATAACTGAAGTAATAAAATGAAGTGTGTCCATGAAAGAGAAACTGTAGACAAATACAACATGGAGAGCCCATACATCACAATCTCTTGTAAAAAGTAAAGTGGACTACACAGCCAACCGAGGTTCAGTTGTATGAGATGACGGGGACCCCTCAAAGTTCACGAGACAGCTTCTGAGACGAAACAGCCCTCGTTCTGATCTGCTGGAATGCAGAACTGTTCTTGATATTGCCAACACCCCTCCAGTATCAATAAAATATGGTATCAAAGTACATATCAAAGATTTGCTGGGATTTAATAGGGGTCATGAGTGGGATGGACTGCTGTGTGTCATCTATGTCTGCCTTTAGCCTCATTGAATGAGACAAGAGGGATTGTCACAGCATACGATGAGAGGGCTGTGATCTTTGCTGTAACCTCTCTGTTACTCTTGCCTACTGTCGCTCTCAAGAGCCAAGATCGACCTGTAACTGTACCGTGGTAACTTAAAACGGATGGAGCGATTTACGCAGCCATAATTCACTGTTCATAAACCTGCTACTTGGTAGATTACATTCTGTCTGTCCTTCCTTAGTTCATGGTGACTGGAGAAAATTGATCTGTGAGAACCGCTGGCTGCCTCATAATGCCAGGAGTCGCATTGATCCCTGACCAAACTAAATAAATAGCGATGCAGAAAGGATCAAAAAGCATGGTTTATAACATTCACAGATCAAATAGACTGGAGCCTCCCGCTCCAAACTCAGCCTGATACAAGCAGCCTGCATGTAAAAAAAACTCCTAATGTAACCAGAGACCACTCATTGCAAGGATTGTCTCCTGCACTTTTCTTCCTTAGCGACGGTATTTCTGAAACCATGACGCCGGGAAGGTCGCCAGGAAGGCAGGAGAAGGCCAGGTCACTGCGCACTATCCTTTCTTTTATCTTGCTTTCTCTGTAAAGAGAGAGATATAATTCCGCCATACACCTTGACCCCTATGGGCTCCGCTACTCCGAGCTTGAATAAAGCCCTTTGAAAAGGAGATATTTTACATTAATGGACAGCCATCCAACAAGTTGCTTCAAAGCTCCCTTCCCCAATCACCTGGTGTCCCATGGAGCGCTCGCCCCAACGTCAGCTCCATCTCCTCTTTGATTCCCTCCATCATCCTCATCATTAGAAGCCGACACACAGGCAGGCGGGCGGGCGAGCAGTTGGTCAGGCAGGCAGGGTTGTCGAATGCATAGATGCACACGAGAAGCTTTTCAAGTGCAGAGAGGCTGACCTTCCAAAGAGCGAGGTCAGCTCCTTAACACACAGCCTGAGCCTTGACGCCCAGGATCCTACAGAGTGCTGTGTATACGTGACACAGCATGGCTACAGCCTTGTAGACACATCAGACCAGAGCGTCTAAACTCATGTGTGTACAGTCCACAGCGGGACGGACTTCCTTTCCAGCATCAGATCATGGATGTCCAGCCCTGCGGCTTCAAACGAGCGACGTCAAACATCACCCCCGGACAGACTCCCTGTCCCTTTATTCAATTTGAATAGGATCTTAGAGCAATGGTAGTTACTGTACTGTATACAGTACACTGGATACAACATTGAAAAAAAACAGAGAAGTGAACCATAGAAGGGGTGGAGTAGACTTTTCAAAAATGTATGGGGATTTTGGTTATCACTAGCCTGATAAACAGCAAAATACATAATAGACTACTGATGTAAATGATGATCATTAACAGCGTTAAGCGAGTGTAAATTCAAAAAGTCTGTACATCTTCATTCTCAAAATCAATGTGTACTGTATGCAGATCGCACCATTTATCACAGACAAAATGCCTTCAAACAGTGGACTGCTTTGTCTTTTATTCGCCAAGCGTATATGTTTGGTTTTGTGTGAAAAGAGTGGGAATTCATGAGTCACAATGAGTGCACTTGTTTTTCCATTTGCTTTTTTTCTACCTTGCGAGAGCTGGCGTTTTGCGTCCTGCTGTGCTACTTGCGATGCCATTTAAAATGAGCTGCAGACTATCGCAGGTGAAGGCTGCCTGCCTGACGTGTGAGTGTGTACGCACTTGTTCGTCTGTCTTTTTCAGAAGGTGTGCGTGTTAGCAGGCTTCAAGTCATTGCGGATGGGTTTTGACAAGTGGCACGCTACACTCCAGAAAGCTGGAGTGAGATGACTGACTAATTCAGGCTACGTTGATAACTGAGACGTAGCCAAAGGAGACTCGGGCCTTCACTCTGTCAGTTGGAGGCACACCGAGTTATCAGTTATCCTGTCAGGGCAGACAACAAGACATTACTAGCAGGAAAGAGAAGGAGGGATTTGTACATCGTGAAACCTGCTTGTCTTTTTTTGGTAAAAACTGACAGCCTGAGGTGGAAGAACAGCTAACTATGTATTCACTTTAATTAGCCATGAAAGGATCTCATTATAGCTCTTTGGTTACAGTTCATTACAAGCTGCATTGCAATGTTATTCTGGAAATTAATTCCCGAGGCTATGTATCCATTTTGTAGGAAAAAATGATGGTACGGCTCATCATTCAGTATCTTTACATAAATCTATTCTCTGCATAATTACAATTATTTGGAGTTTTGTTCATAAGTGATTAAGCATTAGTTTGCAATTATGTCTCATTTGCAACTCCCAGTACAGCTGTCTCCAACCTAGTCTGTCCAATTTGCTATTTGCCTCACAACACTTTATAACACCATAATAATTACGCTTAACGTGCTATCTATTAGCTTTCATCAGTAAATGCCGGTTTGTGAAACAAATACGCAACAAAAAAAGCACAACATCATTTTTTAGCAAGAGCTTTTTGTCTGTAAAACTTAACACGTGTATAAAAAAAGTGTCACTAACTGAATCTGCTATAGTGTTCTTGATTGCAAATCAAACTGAATCTTTAAAATGTGGGTCCTTGAAAGGAAGGGATTTTTTCTCAACTTGGTGTCATGATCAGTTAATGTGATCAAGGTGCTAATAAGGAAAAGGAGGTGTGAAAACACAACGAGTAAACATGTGTCTTGAGGGCACATGTGAAAAGAAAATGCAACAATTGAATGATGACAACAAATGGCCGATGGCAGTGTATTGAGTCTAGAGAGAAACAGACTGTGCCAAGCTTTGTGTAGAGGCCTGCAACACACAGTTTCTAGACAATGCTTAAATGGTATGCTTCTTTTTGGTAACAATAAAAAAGTGTATCATTGATTTAATATAAACAAAGATATGTTCCTTTTTAAAAATTATATTTTGTGTTTATTTGTTTTAGCAGTATAAGAATGTAGCTAGCGGGAATGCGATTACAAAACCCGACATTAAGACAGAAAACATAAACTCTGTCAATTTCTTGCAAAATAAGAGGTACAGCCTTGCTTTCTTCTTCCCCATGCGCAAACATCTGCTCCATCCCTTCCCTCCACCTCCCATTCTTTCATGTTTTCCTCTCCTTTTCGCCTGCTCCATCATCACTCCTCCTTCTGGGGTTACTCTTCAAGTATTGCGTTGTGCAGCCCACGTAGCACAGAGCGTTGAGGGCTTCGCCTCTGCCAGTGAAAACACGAGAGTGTAACAGGATAATAAGAGAGGGCCTCTCTGTTCTCCATGTCTCAGCATTTTCCAATCCCTCACTCGGCTTCAATCCTCGCCTTTAACCCACGGTATCTGGATCAGCAGCATGAGTGCGTTTCAAAAGATACTCAAAAGAAACGAAAAGCTCAAATGTAATCTATGACTTATATTGCTATCTAAAAAGATACACGTGAGAAAGTGGTTTTACTCCTTTAAATCCTTCCGCTTTCCATTTGCTCCGACAACGTACAAGCTCTCACCACTTCTGAGCAACGAATGCTAATCACAGCGCTGTCATCACTCTCCTACGCACCCTGACCTCTCGTTCGCCTATCATTCCCTCCCTGAGGTCTCCAATCGATACCTGACACATGACGCCTGACACACAAATGC